TTAGGGTAACGTTCCCCACCCACGTGTGACCCCGCAAATTTAGATTCAGGTTCCCCGAACTCGCGGGTAACGCGTATGGCCCTGTGAAAGTTTTTTACGGGTAAGTTATTATCTCGGGAACCACGGAGTCTAGGAGGCTGAAGTTTTAGGGTAATGACCCACTGCCCGTGCTAAACCTTGCCTATTCAAAATCAGCCTTCCCTTACCCGCGGGTAACACGTACGGCCCCGTGAAAGTTATTCACGGGTAAGTTGGTATCTCGGGAACCACACTGCCAGCTTCCCCCTCCGCTGCCTTCTATGCCCTCTGCAGTCCACCTCTCAGTTGAGCCCTTTCCTACCCCGGGTATTCGCGACAAAAACCAGCAGTACGGTTTCTCCTTCTTCCCACCCATCACCCCCTCCCCTCTTCTCCACCTGGCCTAGGCAACCGCCGAATGATCCACTCAATCCATCCACCCACCCCCGCGGTGTCTCGAATCCATGCGTCCGGAGCGTGCACACACCATCTCCTCACCGCCACCACATCTGCGGCACTCAGTGTCCTTTGCCGCAATGGGGTATGGACATCTTCCGTCCCAGAAAAAAAATCTTTTGCAGATCGTGTTTGGCGCTGGCTGAGCAGAGGAGTAGTAATCGCTGTGGCTGGGGAGGTGGGTTGCGGTGGTTGGGAGATGGTAGTGAGCGGGTGCCCAAGTACACTTAGGTCAGGGCAGAGGAGAGGAATAAAGGCATTAGTGAGGAACTCGAAACGGTTATTGTGCAGCCAAGACAGATCCTTATCCATAAGCTGCATGACGTCAAAGTGTATTCACTTTGCTTGTTCGAAGGTATAGCAACGAAATGATTATTTCTTTCAGTCATACCGAATTAAATATATTACATAACTCATAGCAAAGAATCATTTGGAAACATATCAAAAAAGCAGCGGACCGTCGGCAAAATTCAATGAAAACCGACGATAAAAAATCCTTTAGCATCCTGTTCTGTTCTGGAAAACACCTCTTCAACATTTGTCTGCGATTTTGTAATTCCAAAGATCATTTCGTAGCGGTATAGCTGTACCAATTGAGCATCATCGCTTGCAAGCTGGTCCCTTAAAATAATAGCCTGAAGGAAAGTGACATTTGCTCAAATCTTTAGAAGCCAAAAAAGCACCATTTCTAAAGCGTTGACACGCGAGCAGATGCATCCCAATAGTTACTTTAATCAGGGCAATCTCAACATTCGTTGTAAAGATGGTGGTTTTACATTGCACGATAGGTGAAATGAAAATATTTTAAACATGCTTGAAACACCGCTAATATCAATTCTTTTTGATGCTAAATACCACGGCAAGATATTTTATCGGAATTCAAAGGACATACAAGAGAAGCTGTCCGTACATTGTTTGGTCGGTATAACTTCCGTAGAAACAAATCACCTGATTGGCCTCAGACACGGTTTCTCTGTATTCTGTAGCCTGCAAATTTTTCGGATAAACCATCTAAAAATTGAGATTTTGCAGTGAAACATCATGTTTTTGTAACTTTTGTTTCGGCTTAGCTCTCTCAAATTTCCACTACATGAGTGTTACGGATTGCCCGGATAGCGACTTTTTATGCGTTTTGAAATACATGCAAATTGCAAAAACGCATAAAGGCTGTGTATGAGTCTACGTGTCCGCACTTTTTTCACTCACTTTCAACTCGAGAACCAGAAATGCTAGAAAGCTGAAACTTTAAGAGTATGTGCCCACACCGTGCGCAATCCTCCCGTTTTATTATGCGTTTTTGCATATATGCAAATTGCAAAAACGCATATTGGGAAGAGGCTGTGTGT